AAAAAAAAAAAAATTTAAAGTGGTTGTACCTTGGAATTCGAATTTTATTTCCACTTTCGTTCAAACAATCAAAATAGAATTTGAATTCCTCAGATGTACATTTTCCATGGAATTTAAATCAATCAAACGGATCCTTAGTTTTTTTTTTGCTAAAATTTTATCAACTATTTAATAGATCTGAGGAATTTGATATGTTAAGGCTAAATTCAAGTATTATGATATCAGAATTTATTAAGTTCAAACGAACAATTCAATACAATTACGACTAAAAAACGAGCATACGAATTTCAAAATTAGTGTTTTCAAACGAACCACCATGTTCATGTGATGTAGACGATAAAAAATATACAAGAGCTTGTGTCCACGTGTCAAAACATCGATCCGTCGGACTGCACCTCAGGGGGCCTAGTAACAAGTATTGTCTTAAAACCAGTACCAAACTGAAAATAAAAAAGAGGCCATACTGTTACAATGCAAATAGGAGAATCGGTATTGGGCCTAAGGCAATCAGCAGACTAGTTTGGGAAAGAGGGGGCAACGCAATGTTCTGGATTTTATTCTTACTTGAATATGGGGAAAATGATACACAGGCTTTTTCAAAGTATAAACTAAAAATATTGTAAACGTCAAAAAAGTTTAATTACTATTTTTATTAAAAAGTTGCATATGATCTTCATATCATAAACTTACCTAAAATTTTACATTCTTTGTTATTATTTTTTTAATTAAAAAGTCACACCTAGAGAAAAAAAAAAATACAATGCCCTTATTTTGTATAAATTAAAATTCAGATTTTAATTTAAGTCAAAATTAACTGTTAATTTTAATCCCATATTTTATGTGATCCACAACTTTTCAACCACATATTTCATTAACGTTTATCAAAACTTTGTATATATACAAATTACGCTTATTAAATCCGAGCGTGTAATATCCTGAATATTTAAAATTCACTAATGCAAAGTTAGAGAACTTGATGGTCAAATTCAAATTGTTCCTATTCTTGAGATCAAACTGAAATTTTAGGGAATAATATTTTAGCTCAAAATATGATGAAGTAGTGTTTGAATTATTCGGTATAATCACGTTAAGTCTCTTTGACAACGATCACGACTGCATAAAGAATATCAATATTACATAATAGTATATTTGTACTATTACAAATTAATTTCTCTCAATAAAATTAGAGTCCTGCTACCATTATAGAACGAGGCTTCATAGAAGCCCCACAGATCACACACATAGGGAGGGGCGGGAAAATTTTGAACCAATTTTTAATCATGTGAGTTCCGCATCGGGACCCACCTCATGTGAGGGTTGGTAAGCTTTCTGTAAACCAACCCTTTGTACATATAGATTAATCCATAAAATTATACCTTGCTTCAATACTATTTTTTTTCCTTCCTCCATTTGCATCTGAATTTAGTTCATAAGATAGTTGTTTTTGCATGCACAACATGATCATCATCATGATTATTTGATCAGTCTATGCCTACATAGAAAATCACTATTATTGTTTTTTCCCTTGGACACTTCCGCTACATAAATATTGCAACAAAATT